TAGAAGAGCTGAAGTGACAAAACTTGTCAGTTGAAAGAAGTGTCTAAATTGATTTCATGTGTTCCCATGTCTTTGGTTTATTGAGTAGCTTGGACCAACATGAGGATGTAGTCCAGCCCCCCTATGGCAGGCCAGTTCCACCTGCAGGGCTCATGTTTGCAAATGTATGACCTGAAATCCACACAAGACATGACAGCTTTGGGTAGGGTTCTGTAAGTCAGCACAAATTCCACACATCCCTGCCTGCACCAAGGTGCATGGTTCAGTCAAAGGATTATAGACACATTTTTCTACTCCTGTTTCAGAAAAGATGCCATGTTGTAGATCTGTCACAGGGAAGACTTTCCTGACTTGGAATTAACAGCTGGAGGCTGCTGGGCTGCAGCCCAGCCCTGGTAGGGATTTGCCCTCACTCCTCCTCCTGCAGTCATGCCCTCAGCCAGCTGAATGTTACAGTCTAGGTGCACACTGCCCATACCTGACCAAGTCTCTTATTCTGAGCTGACTGTCACATCCCTTTTTTAAAAAAAGCCACCTCTCGTGTGTATCAGACTAGAAAGCACTAATAGTGAAAAATGAAGTATACCAGGTTTAGGTAACTCAGCTGCAACACCAGAGAATACAGTGTGTTTTATATGTCTAAAAATGGCAGAGATTATCCCTTGTAAAACAAGTTATACCTGCACTATGCGTATGGTGCATGTTTAAAAATATTAGCAAATCCATGAATATGAAATTCATTATTTTCTTTTTTCTTTTTCTCTGTATTTTCACCTGACTTTACTTTGACTGATTGATTTCTAATAGCCAAAAAAAAAAAAAAAAGATATTTTGAAAAAGAACTTGTCATGTTAATAGTAAGTATCTAAAATTTAAGAAAATTGAGAAAAGAAATTATAACAATTTTTTAAATGTGATCTCTACAGGAAAACAGAGATCTAGTTTAATTGATTGGGCATTTTCTTAAATATGATCTCAGTAGTTTTCTTTGTTTTCCTCCAATGTAGTTTTTTTAGTTGTGGTTTTGAATTACACTTTCTTTGCAGGACAGCAGATTTCTAAAGTTAGAATCTTTATTCAGGCTTATTCTGTATTCTTCCTACACTTCTTGATTAAATCTCCCTTCTAAAAGTGACTTGGTGTAAAGGTGTCAGTTGAAGTTGACTTTATTTTTAAAGTAATACATATATAATAGTACACTTTCGTAGAATATTGTATGGCCTCTTCAGTTAATTATCTTTCATGTCTTAAGATTGTAATCAGATACTTCAGGGTGAAAAACCTGTTTCAGTTACCTTTTTTATACTTCCCTTCCAGTCAGAGTAAAGCAGCATGGCTGTGGTCAATCACATTTTTAGATTTCAGCCTGTGGTTTTCATATGAGCAAGATTCTTTTGGAGAAATATAAGTTTAAATAAATTCTAAACCACTGGAAATATTTTCCAGTTATTTTCCAGAGAATTGTCAACATTTACTGATCACTGGTTTTGTATTTCCAGGGTAGGTGTCCAGTTAGTACCTAACTAGAAAAATATTTAGTATTTAGTTACTTAATCAGAAATAATTTGGGACTAACTTCTTAACAATCAACATACCTATATTTAGCTTTCCTACAATACTATTTTTTATATAATTTCATATCTGATTTGATGGTGGTTATTTAATGAGTGACATCATGCACCTAGGAAATCATAGAATGACATTTTTAAAGGGCTTAGATTTTAGTCTGTTTTCATATGCACTAAACTTCAGAAGTTACTCTGGTATTGGCAGAGGAGTCTTAAAATTGGACGTATTTTAATTTTCTTTAAATGTAGAATTTGAGCAAAAGATTTGGCAAAGCCCAATGTATGGGGAAAAATCAGAAGACTATGAAATCAGAATGCTTTATTTCAAAAGAGGAAAACTCTGAAATATGAAGATTAAGGACACGCCTGTGAAAATATTTTTATTTCAGTTCTTGATTTTAGTCTCCCTGAGTAGTCACTCTAAAAAAAAGAAACCTGAGAGGAAACAAATATATTTTCTTCTGCCTTTTTGGAAGTACTCATGACATCAGATTATTGTTTCAGGAAACATCATATCTACCAGATGTTCACAAATAAAGCATTTAAGTATGTCTTGAGGGAGCTTAATTTTTCATCCAAATGATCTATTGGGCATTTCTACTCAAAGAATTATTTTGAACTAGCATGAGATACCAAATTCATGTATGAAAATCTAAATTGCTGTCTCACTAGACAAGTTTTGAGAAGGGAAGCTAACAAAAGAAAAATCCAGATATCTGGCACTTCCAAATTCTTACAAATCGAAGAAATCCTTGATAATTAATTTGGTACACAGTAGTTGTGTTGCTTGATATGGATACAAATATTTATGCACAGCTGAGTCTATAGAAATATACAGTCATCTGGGAAATGTTTTTTAGAGGCAGCACATTTTTTTAATAGGCATAGATCTTGCCAAGTGGACTCGATATCCTTTTAATGAACTCATAAATCTAGCTACTAACATCAACTGCCTTCTGTAAGGCATTTGTTGTGTTGCTGTAATATGTGCTCATTTTTTCATTACAGAAAATGAGCGTATTCTTTATTAAGGATGTTGTTAGGAAAACAGATAACCACAATAATAATGTAAGATGGTAGTTTTCATATGATGGCATTACCTGCATTAGAGTTCTAAAGAAGTCTCATTCAATACTTTTATCAACAGGTTTACAGAACAAAAAAGGAAGTGGTATCAGTTTGATACGATGGGACTAAGGAGCTTGAAAGCCAACAGATGTGAGCTCACATATCTAGGAGCTGTATGTCAGCCTTCAGAGGGGAGTTTCTGCATCTTGGGAAGGAGTGACTTTGAAAAACCTGTGGGGACCTGAGATGGTTGAACACAAATCCCACTGGGTTGCTGTTGCACCCATGGGAAATACTGTTCTCAGATAAGTGGAGGGAACAACCAGAAAGGGGAAAACAGTATCTATTTTGTCTGCTAAGAGAAGTAACTTCTAGAGTACTGTGCTGAGCTTTGCCATCCACGTGTCAATAAGTATCATCTAGGCAAAGGGGGTGATTTAGGGAGGTCTCTTGGGATAACCAGAAAATGTCATTTATCAAGAAAAAGGCAAAAAGAAACATGACTATAGTGATACAATTAAAGTTAGTTTTTTGGCAATGAAAGTATAAGGATTGCTTAGGGGTGTGATGTTTTCTGACATGAAGTGTGGAATATTTTTTGTTTTAAGCTTTATGCTAAAGAACTGTCTACTACTAAAGATTAGTATACTTCTGATATTGAGAACTATGTACAGGCCATTATTTTTGGAAAGCTGAATGTTGCTGAAGAAAGACTGAAAGGTAACAAATGATTCTGTTTCTGTAGTGCTTAGGAAGATGGACAGTCCTTACTGGTTTTGTTTAAATCCAACACAGAAGTGTCATTGAAATCTTCCTTGAGGAAGATGTTTTCCCTTAATGTACAAGTACAGCTCCAGGATATCTCTGAAAGCTGAGTATCTCTGCCCAGACACTGCTTTGCTCAGAACTAAATCAGTTAGTTTTTCAGCATCTCTTTGCTTTATTAGATTTCTTTTATTTGATTTTATTTATTTATTTATTTGAAGAAATCCATTACTACTGCTTCTCTATCCAGCAATATAGTAATGACGACTAATGAATTATTTAGG